TACCGTGTCCCCCCAGGACTGTAAAGTTGGACAGAGGTTTACCGTGTTCCCCCAGGACTGTAAAGTTGGACAGAAGTACATGTTCTCCCGTGCCCCAGCGTTCATCGTCTCCCATCTGTGAGAGCGGGTGAACATGTAACGTCCTGACCTGATGGAGTCAACGTTTCATTTTACAGGACCGAGCTGACCCGAGCAGCTTCAACCAGAACCAAACCCAGGATCTGACCCACGATGCAACAAATGAGCCAAAGTGAAGACGGCCCCAGCAGCGACCTTCAGACGGTCCACAGGTGACCCACCTGAGCCCCCAGTCTGGACCCGACAACCAGACCCGGACCCTCGTTGAGACTCACAGGTAGTCCTGATCTTTGGAAGAAAACATCAAAGAGATGATGAGAGTCGGGCCGGCCACAAACATCAGCCGAAGACTTTACAGACTCCAGTTTTTTATCATCTAAAACCCGGCTCCTGTTTTTACAGAACCATCAGAACCACGTGTTCTCACTCCGCTCACGTTCAGTGCACATATGAGCTGTCAATCACATGGAGCCCGGTTCTAATTGCCCCGGATCAATGTGAACCGAGTCGACTCGTGCTTCAGCTCCAATCTGGGCTCGCCCTCATCACCGCCAACATCAAAGGCTTCAGAGCGGCCGCCTTCAAACGGCTCGCGACAGCCGGGCCTCGTCCGAGCCCATTGGACCCAATAACCTTCAGCCCATCAGCGCGGCGCCGTTCACCTTGGAGATCAAACACTTGAAATGAAGCTGCTTCAAAGACCACCGGACCCGCTGCCCGCCGGGATGCAAGCACTCGTTACGGTGGTTCGAGACCCACAACAGGTTGGATTCTGCCGGACGGCTGCTGGAGTGCAGGACATTATGTCTGGATCAGAACCAGAGTCCAAACTGCTTCAGACCAGAACCAGAGTCCAGACTGCTTCAGACCAGAACCAGAGAGTCCAGTTTGCTGAAGTGTTCTGGTTCTGTCTCTTACCTTCTGACGTCTCAAACTTTGATATCCAAACAAACAAATTAAAAAATTAAAAAACAGAATCGTAGAAATCCAGAATAAAAACCTTTAGCTGCTGAGAAACACCGAGAGTGACACACAGCAGGCGTGGTGTGTGTGTGTGTGGTGACCTGCTTCTTCAGGGGGTGGTGGAGCTGAGGAGGGCGGGGGACAACAGTTGGACAGGTTTATTTTAGGACCAGCGTACCCCCCCCCCACCCCCCACCCCCCCAGCTCAGACACCAGTAGATAAATGTTCATTGCAGAGGAAATGCAGAATAAATACTGAACGCTGAAATCAGCTGAAGCTAGGTTATTAAAGTTAAAACAAGTAGAACTAAAACTGGAAAAGCTGCAGCTAAGAGTTCCCAGGATCATAGCTAAAACCTCGCAGCAGCACAAGTTAAAGCTCCAAATAGCATGAGCTAAAACAGGGGCCTGCAACCTGCGGCTCTGGAGCCACACGCGGCTCTTCGGTCCCTCTGCAGCGGCTCTTTCAAGCTTTGACAAAAACTGAAATAAAACTGAATTTTATTGGTTGTTATAACAACAACTAAAAAGAGCTAGTTTTAGCAGTTTTCCTATAATTTATTTTGCAAATATATGAATAATAGAAACATTACAAGTAGTAAAACATACTCACTTTCACTTTATGCTTTATTTCTTCAAAGTAGGATACCTAATTTTTCTACAATTAAAAAAAAAAAAATCACATAAGAATTCATAGTTTATTGTTTTAGGTTCTATAAACTGGACAAAACTATATTATTTTTTCCTTCTTTACAAGAATTTCGTCTTTTATTTTGTCTTAGAATGTAAAAAATATCAATAAATGCTAAAAATCATTAGATATTTTTAGTCTTATAAAATCACCCCTACTGTCCAGAAAAGTGCACTCCAATAAACTTAAAGTGGTCCGTGGGCCACCAGTTGAGAATCCCAGATGTAGCAGGTGTTGCAGCTCCGGACACGTTTAATTTAGTGAAAAGGCAGAAATGGCTCTTTTGACCATAAAGGTTGCAGATCCCCGAGCTAAAAGCTCCAAGTAGCATAAACTAAAAGCTGCAAGTAGCATGAGCCAAAAGCTCCAAGTATAATAAGCTAAAAGTTTCAAGTAGGACAAGATAAAAGTTCCAAGTAGCATAAGCTAAAATTTCCAAGTAGCTTAAACTAAAAGCTGCAAATAGCATGAGCCAAAAGCTCCAAGTATAATAAGCTAAAAGTTCCAAGTAGCATAAGTTAAAAACTCCAAGTAGCACAGCTAAAAGTTCCAAGCAGCATAAGCTAAAAGTTCCAAGTAGCATGAGCTAAAAGCTTCAAATAGCATAAGGTAAACACTCCAAGTAGCATAAGTTAAAAGTTTCAAGTAGCATAAACTAAAAACTCAAAGTTTCATAAGTTTAAAAGCTCCAAGTAGCATAAGTTAAAAGTTTCAAGTAGCATAAGCTAAAATCTCCAAATAGCATAAGCTAAA